CAACAACAACAACAACAATGACCCTATGTACAACACAATGAAACACTGCCTGGTCCTGGGCCATCCTCACAATTGCTATGGTTCAGCTTATCATTGCAGCCACTGTATCAATCTATCTGGTTGAGCGTCTTCCTCTTTTTCGTGACCCTCTATTTTACAGAGTGTGATGTCTTTTTCCAGGACTGGTCCCTCCTGATAACATGACCCTCCTGATAAATATTAGTGGCTTAGAAATAAATATGTCAACAAGGAGTTTTTGGATGTACACAAAAATAATAATATCAGTGTTTCAACAGCTCTAGAAAGGCAGGACTTATGTACAGAAAGAACTGCAAGACTTTACTCAAAGATTGAGTTCTGCAATTAAATAATTTGGTGATTCACAAAGTTTTAAACTTGGTCTATTTATCTTAATTCTCAAAATTCACACTTTACCATTCTTAATATGAAAAATCTCTAAGGTTGATTTCATAACAGAATAAAACATTATTGGTCAAGCTTTATATACAATGTTATATATGTCTAGTAAGAGAAAAAAAAATGCATATAATAATGCTTGTATTTCCAGGAAGAAGAATTAGAAAAATACATCCAGGAGAGCCAGGCATTGGCAAAGCGAAGCTGTGGTCTCTTCCAGAAATTAGGAGAATATTACTTACAAAATGCGTATGTTTTTGTAAATAGCATTTTTAGTGATTTGAAATTATTAACAGGCAAGAGAAATGTAAATCTAAATTAGTGATTCATGAATACTCTAAATATCAGCCCCTATTTCTGTTTAGAAGCTAGTGTAATGTTATGATTCAATGTCCCTGAGTGAGGTCAGCTTTCCTTTCCTCGCTCTCTCTTTTAGGAAGCAACTAGATTGGTCTGTGAAGTCTTATCTGTGGCCCTGGTTTTGGGTTCTCCAAAAGGCACACATTCTTATAGAAAAGATATCTGTTCTTTCACCGTTAGAACATGAAAAGGTCAAAATTAAAAGCAACAACCTTTTTTAAGTTGTGAATAAGAGTCAGTCTTCTACCCAGAGTTACTTTTTCCACTATGGTATGTTGGTAATAATAAGAGTATAATAAGTGGTTGTTAGAGTAAATTCATATCAAAAGTTGACAATACAGTAGATGGATGAAATGAAGTGGACTCATGTTTTTTGATACCAGAAGCAGCTAAGATAGAGGGTTTTTGAGAAGGAGCAAAGAGTCCAAATCTCATGAATGACTCACTAGGATTTGTATAAAATGCTTCTTTCAGGTTTCTTGTTGCTTACACGAAGAAAGCCCCTCAGCTGACCACACCAGAGCTGATGGCCATTACTAAGAAAATGGCTGCCACAGGGGCCACTTGCTGTCATCTCAGTGAGGACAAGCAGTTGGCCTGTGGAGAGGGCGCAGTGAGTACCTCTCTTTTTAGTCCCTTTTCATTTGACCCTGTTTTACTTGAAATAGCCTCATCATTCCCACTGAGGGGAAATGGTAAAAATCAATGTGGAAATGACTTTTCTGGGCTTGTTCCATGCATTATATTTAGAGGAGGCATGAGAACTCAGCTTTGCATGGTTGCATATGGTCATGTTAGGAGCTTTGGTAGCGTAGTGCCTAAGGCATTTGACTGCTAACCAGAAGGCTGGTGGTTCAAACCCACCAGCCACTCCTCAGAAGGAAGCTTGGGCAATCTACTTCTGTAGTGATTATGCCTCGGAAAACCAGAGAGGGGTCGCTATGAGTCAGAGTTGATGGCAATGAAGGTTTTTTTTTTTTTTTTTAAATATGGTCAGGTAGAGCTCCTGTTTAGAAGGGTTACTAGAAGCACAGCCAGGTAATTCAACAATATCTGAGCAAATATATGTGCAAGAAAGATGGGATGGCTAAAAAATTATTCAACTCATGGTTTCCTCTTTTTGTTCACTAAATATTATTATTATTATTTTTTAAAAGTATTGCCTTTGATAGATTAAAATCAGTGACGTTATTTTTAGTCATATGTATGTTTTTGCCTTAATTTGTAGAATAATGTTGTTCTTATTTTGTTATTATGGACAATTTGTTCTCTTTGTCAGTTATGGCTAAATACTATGTTCTGAATAATAAAATGATTTTCCAGTTAGTTAGGCCAATAATCTTTACTTGTTAATTTCAGGAATGTCATATATAAGCTATAGGTTCAATCTTTTAAATTATTTTTTTCCCTTAAAGTCACGACTATGGACAAAGTTTTTATCTCCTTCTTCTCTTTTCCTCTTTCTGATGATGGAAATTTTTGTGTGTTAGTCTTCATATTTAAAAAAAATTTCACCAAAGTTCAGGAGGGAAAGGAGACTTTCCTTTCATTATCTTTAGTGTTTACTGAATTCTATACATTGATAAGATTTTTGGGAAAGAGGGTGTTGCAATGGTTCAGAAGTAGAGATTCTGGAGGCTACCTGATTATATTTCTATTCCACATTCCCTGTGTATTTGTTTGTCACATTGGGTAAGTTATTTATCTCACTAAGTTTGAGTTGCTTTCATCTGAAATGTGATATTCACAAGACAGCTATCTCAAAGGACGTAATGCACATAAGTCAGTAAGCACTAGTAAGGCAAATAGTATGCACACAAAGCATGTTAACGAACCAGATGCCATCAAATCAATCTTGCCTCATGACAATCCCATGTGTGTTAGAATACAAGTGTGCTCCATAGAGTTTTCAGTGAGTGGTTTTTCATCAAGTCTTTCTGTTGAGGCATCGCTGGGTGGACTCTAACCTCCAACCTTTCCTTTAGCAGTGAGAGCATTAACCATTGGCATCACCAAACCAGACCAAAATCACTGCCATCAAGTCAATTCTGAATCATAGCAACCCCATGGGACAGGGTAGAACTTCTCCATAGGATTTCTAAGGGTGTAAATCTTTATGGAAGCAGACTCCTTATCTTTCTCCTGTGGAGGAGCTGGTGGGTTTGAACTGCTGTCTTTTTTGTTAGCAGCCAAATCCCTTAATTATACTACCAGAATTCCTCACATCATCCAGGGACTCCAAATTATAACTAGGTGCTAAAGAAATATTTCTGAAGTATGGAAGGTAGGAGGATTCTGCATTAGGAAAGCCTTTAACACTTAAAGACACATATTCATATTGGATCAATTTCTTTTCAACTCAGATTATACAATTAGGTTTATATGTGGATTTACATGAAAAGGTAAGCCATGTATTGATTTTCTTAGTTCAAAGCAGAGTCTTTTTCTTTTTTTTAAATTCTGTTGGAAGTGTGTACGTAACTGGAAGCATGTGTCTAACAAAACACAAATAGTTGTTCAATGTCACATATGGAACTTTGTCACTAAATGCTAAGGTTTAGCCCCCCAAAATGAGTGAACACTGGAATCTAGAATATGACATCACATGCTCTTACACAAAGACAGAAAATTTTCCTGTAATATTAATGATGTATAATTGTTATTGTTGTTTTGTGCCGTCGAGTCAGATCTGACTCATAGCAACCCCTCCTTGGGTTTCTGAGGTGGTATCACTACAGAAGTAGATTGCCCAACCTTCTTTCTGAGGAGAGGCTGGTGGGTTTGAAACCACCAGCCTTCTGGTTACCAGTCAAGTGCCTTGGGCACTATGCTATCAGAGCTCCTGACGTACAATTAGACATCAAAAATTATTGCAACAGTTCTCTGGAAACCTGAATCAACTTTGTGGCTTGCATCCAATCCCTTCCCTTTCTTCTTTCTGTTTCTCCTAACTAGGCTGACCTTATTATTGGACAATTATGCATCAGGCATGAAAGGACTCCTATAAACCCTGGTGTTGGCCAGTGCTGTGCTTCTTCATATGCTAACAGGAGGCCATGCTTCAGCAACTTGCTGGTGGATGAAACATATGTCCCTCCAGCGTTTTCTGCTGCCAAGTTCCTCTTCCATAAAGATCTGTGCCAAGCTCAGGGTGTAGCTCTGCAAATGATGAAACAAGAGTAAGACATGGTTGTTTGCTAGCATGGAAAGGACGGATAAGACCAAATAGCAGTTGAGACTTCTGCCTTTACACAATCACTCTTGAGCTCACTACTATAACCCCAAAGCACTTATGATGTCTTTCAAGATGGTTTGTCTCAGTGCCTTCCCAGACTCATGGGGAGTAGGTCTAGAGAAATCCACTAGGGGAGATTATTTCATGTTTGTAAATTATATTTCAGTTATTATTTTGATGCATTGTAGAGTTGAGGAAAAATGGACAATCCATTTGGGAAATAGCTTACATCTTCCAGCAAGTCTGGATACTTTCATTTCAAGCACTAGAAAGGCACTATTGAATTTTATTCTTCACTATTTATGCTTTGAAGAGAGTAACCATACAATTTGATTCAACTGTGCTATAAAAGTATATTTTAATTAGTTGTGGGAGACATTCAGTAATGGTTATAGTAATGGAAGCCAATGGAACTCACATTCTATAAACTCTCATTCATGTTGATGCTCATGTGCTTTGTACAGTACATGATCTTCCTTCATTTTGGAAAACCTGTTCTTCCCTTTTTTCTCTATCAAAATTTATTCTAGGCAAGAGAAACAAAGACTGTGTTTCACTACATATAAGTGTGAAAGAAGTGTGATGTGACCTTTCATTTATAATGTGTATGAGTCCAGACCAGCAGAGCACTGAGCATGTTCCCAGCTTCAGTCTTTTTGACAAAGATATTAGAAAAGGTGTATGCAGTATGTAAGGTGATGAGGTGATGGGGTGAGGGCTTAGCAAGAGGTTTGGCAGGACTCTTAAAGTTCTATACTAGAAGGGCTTTTGACAAATACTATTTCATAACTGACCCCTCCTTTATTTTGTTGTTTTAAATCAGATTTCTTATTAATCTTGTGAAGCAAAAGCTACAAATAAAGGAGGAACAACTTGAGGCAGTCATTGCAGATTTCTCTGGCTTATTGGAGACATGCTGCCAAGGGCAGGAACAGGAGGTCTGCTTCGCAGAAGAGGTATGTGCAACTAATTTTCACACTCAAAATACTTGCTATGGAATTTTCTGTAGTGAGCAATAGCAAGAATATCCTGTAAACACACAACTTCAAAACAATGCCAGAGAGATTTAAATTTCTTTTAGAAATAAACAGAATGATTTTGTGAGATCTAAAAAATCATCACAAATTTCTCGTGATTTTAATATTCAGAATATGAAATATCAAGAAGAGTAGTAATATAAAAATATATTAAGAAGTTTTTTTTTTTAAGTCAGAAATAG